ATGCCCCCTGGCCTGCATTTTAATTTCTTGTTCTGCTCACAGAATCTCCCCTGCCTCACCCTAGAACAGTGATGGTGAACCTTTTAGAGACCGAGTGTGCCCAAACTGCGACCCAAAACCCACTTATTTATCGCAAAGTGCCAACACGGCAATTTAACCTGAATACTGAGGTTTTACTTTAGAAAAATACTGAGGTTTTACTTTGAGTATTGTTTATTATCTCTCGCTTAGCAACCCAGACGCATGCCCAGACGTAGACGTAGAGCTTGTTAGTGAACCATGCAACACTCAAGGCCAAGCAGGTGTGTGATAAGGATGGCGGCAGCTTTTTGTTTTAATTAGCAGAGCCTGAGAAAAGCTTAGTACCGATAACTGGAGCGTTTGGTTCCCAGCAAGTTGGCGCTCTGAAAACTGTCAGCAAGCTGCCTAATTCTGTACTTGTACTGATGTATGGTCTATGCTCTCTGCGCACGCTTTGTTCCTGTAGTTTGTAACCCGTGTAATTTCCTCCTGCTTTGAGTATTGTTTATTATCTCTCGCTTAGCAACCCAGACGCATGCCCAGAAGTAGAGCTTGTTAGTGAACCATGCAACACTCAAGGCCAAGCAGGTGTGTGATAAGGATGGCGGCAGCTTTTTGTTTTTATATTACTTGCTATGGTCCGTTCACGTTATTCTAAACAGAAACCTCTCTAGTGACCCATTGCCTCAATAAAGTAACCTTTCCTACGAGAAGTGACTACGTTGCTTTAATGGGACCTTGACACACACGGGGGAGATGTCACTGGCAGCCCCATACTAAAGAGGGGGAAGGTTATGCAATCACGCAATAGGTGGCCCGGCATCTTGATTTTCGCAAATTTTTTTTTTAATCGAAAGGAGACTGGGAGTGGGACGGACAGCGAGCTCAACCACCTGACTATCAGGGGCCGCTCACATTTTGGGGGACTCTCGGAAGGTGAGGGGCAGCTCGCCGCTCCAGCTTTTGACAGCATCAGACTGGGGGCTGGGTCCCCAGCCTCTTTTTGGCCTGCAGGCACCCATGGGATTTCGAGAGGGAAACTGAGAGCACCGACAGCCAAACACTAAAATGGCTGCCGCGGGACGTGGAGCCAAATGCAAAAACCTCCCTTCCCCGCTTTGCAGGCAGGGGAGAACCTATTTATTCGAAGGAGAGGAGCCGAGGATGATCCCGGTCTTACAGTGGCTCTGCCCACTTTCTGAAAAACTTGGCAGGCACCAAAGGACATATGGGTGGGTGTCAGGGGGCCCACGGGCACCAGGTTGGGGAACCCTGTGTTAGACCAAAGGGGGGTCACGTTTTAGCAGAGGGTTTGTGTCAAGCTTGCTGTGCATTTTACAGCTCATTCAGCCACGGCAACCAGGGAGGCGCGGCGTGGGAGTGTGTGAACTGAAACGCTTTCACTTTTGGGTAGACTGCTAGCAGCACCTTGGCTGTGAGGTAACAGGCCTCTTATCACCTCTGGGAAGCCAGGCGTCCTTGTGTCGCTCACCTTTCGCAGCTTGGCTTTATTTTGCATGCTGGGGAGATGGCTTAGAAAGGGGGGTCGCTAGCTTTTGGTGGGGGGAATAGGATGCATGACAGATCACGGGAGGTGGTCTTTCTGCTCTATTCTGCTATGGTCAGGCCCCACCTGGAGTCCTGTGTCCAGTTTTGGGCACCACATTTGAGGAAGGATGTTGACAAGCTCACGCGTGTCCAGAAGAGGGCAACCAGGATGGTGAGAGGGTTGGAATCTAAGTCTTAGGAGGAAAGGCTGAAAGAGTTGGGTCTGTTTAGCCTGGGAAAGAGAAGGCTTAGAGGGGACATGATTGCAGTCTTCAAGTACTTGAAGGGCTGTCGTGTAGAAGATGGAGCAGATCTGTTCTCTCTTGCTCCGGATTGCAAGACTAGATCTAATGAGTGGAAATTACAAGGAAGTCGTTACCTGCTAAATATCAGGAGAAACTTCCTAACTGTAAGAGTGGTTGAGCAGTGGAATGGTCTGCCTCGGGAGGTGGTGGAGGCCCCTTCGCTGGACGTTTTCAAGTGGAGGCTGGATGATCATCTTTCGGGTATGTTGTAGGGCTGTCTTTCGGGTATGCTCCTGCAGAGTGCAGGGGGTTGGACTAGATGACCTGAAAGGTCCCTTCCAACTCTAACATTCTATGAATACCAAGGGGTGATTGGTCCTGGGCTTTTAGTGCCTCTGCTTAAACCTTGTATATCCATTGCATCCGCGCCTTTAACCTCAATTCTAACACAGCCGGTATACAGGCTGGATCCTATCAATGTCTCGATAAACTCATCGTTCTCCCAAGTGAACGTTGTCGGGAACTGATTTATCCAGGAGTCCAACCAGTTTTTTGTTGTTTCGGTTTTGCCAAAGAAGGAATTTCCTTTGGGACACACACTGGCTCCTCCCCTCCCTCGTCCCATCTTCCAGTCCTTCAACTGCCAATGGAAAAAAAAAAGCACAAATATCCCACTTATCGGTTAAAAACAAAACCCATCGGTCAAGATTCAGGCAAACAGAAAAGGGGGGGGGAAACAATTAGAAGGAGCTTTTTTATTACAATGCAATAGTCATAAATCTGAAGAGGGACCTCTGCCCCTGTACAGCCACAGTTGTTGTTTGTTTTTAAATTAAGTATCTAACTTGCAGCTAACAAAATACCAGACCCACCCCTGGCCCCCCCTCCCCCAAAAGAAATGGTTCAACTGCACAGTGTTAACCCCCCTTCCTGCCCCCTCCTCTTCATATATATAGATATATATATATTTATATAATTTTTGCAATGCACCTTGTATGCCAGCACTAGAGTTGGTGGCCGACATGTTATTACAAATCGTGATAGAAAGGTCCATCCTCTCCACCGCTAGAAAACAAAAACTGGGGGGGGAGGGGTGAAAACGTCAAATCTGAAGCTTCTGCATTATAGCTGGAATTTTTTTTTGGGAGGGGGGAGGGCAGAATGGATTTAAAGCCAGAGTTAGACAAGGTGCTACAGGGAATTCTGCTCCTCCCCCCTGCCTCCTTCCAAAAGAGGGTGGTGGAACACGCTGAGCAAATGGAAAATCTCCCGTCGGAGGCGGCCTGCTTATCCGGCATCGCTGCGTTCCGTGGCTGGTTACCTGAGTTTCCCTCTCCCTTTGATAACACACTTCCAAATTTAAAACCTATTTGCCTTGATCCTTTCATAAACTTTTACATCAGCTTCTTCAATCTGCCTAGAAACTGAACATCAGCACTAAGTTCATTCCAACCACCAGTGTTTAGATGCTTCTTATTCATCTTCCCCGCTCCTCACCCACAGCGGCAGCAATGGAGACAAGCAGAAATTTGTCTCGTGTTTAATTCCGTTTTATTTATTTTTTAAAAAAACCCACCAAAACCTCTTACTCCTCTGGTCCCTTCTGCTCAACAAACCGAAATTGCACACTGCTCAGCCAAGGGGGGTGGGGGATTAAAAAGGAGTCACTGAGGAAGAAAGACCCAGAATATCGTTCTGTAAAAATTACTCCCGTTTCCTTTGACCTCTTCTACAAGGGGGAGCTCTCGATAGAACCCCCTTCCCCCTGACCGTCCCGACACGTTGACTGTTTTCCGAAGGAGATTCAAGACGTTCTTTGGGTTTTGACTGTCCAGTAATTCTCAGGGGGCTGAGATCGTTGGGTGCCCAAGGCAAGACGTCCGTAGGTGGGACTGCGGTTTTACGAAAGAGCCGACCCTGCGTTTGCTTGCCCTGTTTCTTCCGACGGCGGCTTGATCCATACGCACTGCTTCATAATTTATGATCGGGTGGGGGGGGGATCAGATCCCGCCCATTAGCCCCCACTGCCTCTCTGGGAATCACAGAGGGCTGCGCCGGGGAGGGCCACGAAGAGGGGGCAACGATCCAACCCATTCCGATTCTGTCCGCTATCGCTGGGTTCCAGTTCTATTTTCCACACGCGGGAGACGAAGGACGCCTTTGATCGCTACCGGCCGTCGTGCGATCGACCGAAAAAACAACCCCGACAAACAAAAACAAACAAAATATTTTTAAACCCAAATAACTATAAATGTAAGGCGGGGGAAGGGAACCAAAAAGCAGCGGGGAGTGCCGGACTCGGTGCGGCCCTCCTCTCACTGTGCTAGTGCTGCTGATCGGGGGGGGGGGGCCCCAAAAACGCACCCCCCCAAAAAAAAAAATAAAAAAAATACATAAAAGAAAAATAAAAGGAGAATCGCCGCCATTGCTCTCCCCTCTCCGAGCCCGCCTTTGCCGCGAGAATTTGGTAGCCTCATCTCATCGCTGTTGCCCCCCCCACACACACACCAAAAAAAAAAAAAAAGCATTCCTTCCACCCTGTGGAATGTGAGGCCGCCTTCAGCCGGGCTGACCAAAGAAAAATTAAGCCTCCCTGCGGCGGCCCCCCCCCCAAACGGGGCAAATCCAGCTAGGCTCAAAAAGCAGGTTTTCCACTGCATGGTGAAATTTGGGGGGGGGGGCAGAGAAAGGTGGCAGACTCAAATGGGAGAAGGGGTGAGGAATTAACCCCTCCCTCAGGGAAAAAAAATCGAAGTCTCCCACGAGAAGGGCGGAGGCTCCTGAGTTATTTCCAGGTGGCGGACTGCGGGATGGATCGCGGCGGGATCATATCCAGAAGGTACTCGCGCTGGCGGTCCACGGCCGAAGAAGCCGCTTTGTGCACGGCGAGGCTGGGGTTCACAAAACTGAGGGCCCCACCTGGAAAGGAGAGGAAGGGAACAAACGGGTGAGGCTTCACGGGCATGGTCAAAGGGCACGAGAGATTGAGAAGAGCGATCAACAGACACTTAACAGTAGCTGCTGTAGATTTTTTGGGGCTGTATGGCCGTGGTCTTGGCACTGTGGGACCTGACGTTTCGCCAGTAGCTGTGATTGACATCCTCAGAGGTATAACACAGAAAGATGGAGTCCTCTCTGTGTCAAAGTGAGAAGAAAAACTGTAGGCAGGTGATTTATATCTACTCAGGAAGGTGGGGTAGGGCTGAGTCATTATCTCGTAGGAGTTCCCCAGGCTATGGACATGCTAATGGAGGATCTTTCCTGAGGAGGTTCTTTTGTATATGGATTGTTTCCTGAGGAGGTTTCCTGTTTCCTGAGGAGGTTCTTTTGTATGTGGATTGGCTGTTGAAATTCTAATCTAATCTGTACAGATATATACAAAAGAACCTCCCCAGGAAAGCTCCTCCATCAGCATGTTCATAGCCTGGGGAACTCCCACGAGACAATGACTCAGCCCTACCCCACCTTCCGGAGTAGATATAAATTACCTGCCTACCATTTTTCTTCTCACCTTGACACAGGGAGTACTCTGTCTTTCTGTGTTATACCTCTGAGGATGCCAGTCACAGTTACTGGCGAAACGTCAGGTCCCACAATGCCAAGGCCACGGCCACGCAACCCGGGAAATCTACAGCAACTAATGAACTCCGGCCGTGAAAGCCTTCAACAGCGTATTAGACATTAAAGAGTTTTTTAAAAAGCCCCACACTTCTCTAATAATTCTGTCGCCCTGATTTGGATGGCCCAGGCTAGCCTGATCTCGTCAGATCTCGGAAGCTAAGCAGGGTCGGCCCTGGTAAGTACTTGGATGGGAGACCACCGAGGGAAGTCCAGGGTCTCTACATATTGGCAGGCAATGGGGATTATTAGGAAGGGGCAGGGGTCATTTCCTGCAGGAGCGCACAGGAGCGGAGCTCCGGCAGTAAAGAGCCCAGGGGGCGGGCACATGCAACAAGCCCCCACCCCCTGCTCCCAGCAGCCCTCAGTCAGAGCAAGAAGCAGCCAGGTAAGCTGCAGAGCTCCCCCCCCCCGGCCCCCTGGTTCAAAACAGTCCAGTGGCACCTTTAAGACCAAGTTTTATTCAGGTACAAGCTCTCCCTCCTCTGCGAGGACAGATCTGCACGTTCTCCCCCCCCACAATAGCTAGCAATCCAAAACAGTCCAGTGGAGCCTGAGCGGTGGGTGTTGCCTTCTGACACACTTCCGGTGATGTCAGGGGGTGTGGCATATGCAAATGAGTTATGCTAATGAGTTATGCTAATGAGTCCCTGCACCTCTTTTTCTACGAAATGACCCCTGGGAAGGGGACTGAAAACAAATCAGCCGGTATCATAATGCCCCGGAAAGGTTAAATGGCGTGGGCTCATTTGCACAGTTCTGGTCGCCGCACCTGAAAGAAAATGATCGTAGGTGCAGGAAAAGGGCAACTGAAATCATCAAGGGGATGGAACACTTTCCCTATGAGGAAAGGTTAAAGGAGGTTAGAGCTCTTTAACTTGGAAAAATGACGACTGAGGGGTGACATGATCGAGGCTTTCCAAATGATGCATGGGATAGAGAAGCCCGAGAAGTCCCTTTCTCTTTTTCTCACAATACAAAATCACGTGGGCACTCCATGAAATTAATGAGCAGTAGGCTCCCAGCACAGAAAAGTACTTCTTCACCTAAATAATAATTCACTGCCACAGGGAGTTGTGGCGGCTACAAGCATGGACATCTTCAAGAGGGGACTGGATAAACATATGGAGCAGAGCGCCATCAGTAGCTATTAGCCAGAAGGTATTGATGGAACTGTCTGGGGCAGTGATGCTCTGTATTCTTGGTGCTTGGGGGGGGGGCAAGAGTGGGAGGGGTCCTGGAGTTCG